AAAGAGATTGAGACATCCATCGTATCTGCTAATCTGCTTTGCCACCCCAGTGCCTCTGTAAGACAGAATCATTAGTTTACAGGCGAGGATTCTGAGCCTCGGCAAATGTCCTGCTTCCTGGGTAACAATTTTACTGGCTGAAAAGGGCACGGAAGGCTTTGAATTGAGGTCTATAGACCACCCCCCACCGCTCCTCTTTTTTTTCAGTTTTAGGATCCTATCTCTAACCCTCATTTATTCCTCATTCTTTAATTACTCTTGGATTTCTTCCTGCTGGTGGTGTGTCAACAATGGTCACAGAACATGGCCTCGTGGTAGACTCGGAAAGGCAAGGATTCTCTAGGTCTTCTGGCCTCAGTGATCCCGCGAAGAGCCAACCCTTGGCGCGGAGACCAACGAGATAAGAAGGCCTCCGAGTTTCCTAGACAGAACAGGAAGTGGCTCCAAGGGCCCGAAGATCGGAGAGGAATTCGCTTCCGGCGCATCTTTTGTTCAGGAATCTTTGGAAGCTACTGCTGGTGGGGAGGCTATCGGGCTAGTTGTGAAGCTTCCTCAGGTTGCCAGGAGTGGGAGCCGCGGTCCCGGGCTGTTCCTGCCCGCTGTTAGCGCTGGTATTGACCCTACCCCGTGACACACGTGATGAGACAGGCCCAGAGGGCAGCAGGAAACTTCCGGGGATACCAGCGCATCCCCGACGGGGTTTGGTGGGAACGCAGGACTGTCTCCCCGCCTCGTACCGCTCGACTCTCCGTGCTTCCTTCCCGGGGTTTACCCCAGAGGTCTTCGGAAAAGCGGGGCACTGTATTCCGTGGTCTTTGTTCTAACTTAATCCCCGTCCCGAAACCCCTCAACCCGACCCTCTGCTCAGCCTCTGGCCCACCGAACTGCAGATTTGCCAAGTGGAAGGAGCGTTTTCAGTCTGTCCTACCCACAGCTCCCACAGACACCAGGGATGTTATTAGCAAGGACTCGTGGATTGCACAAAGGATCCTTAGAGCCGCTGGTCCAGCCACCACCTTCCTACCTGTTATGGGTGGGGAAACAGGACCATGGAGGGATTTGAACTGAGACCTTCTCCCTCCAGAGACCTTGTCTCTTTCTGAGCCAGTGTCTGCGACCTTGAGTCTCCTAAAGCACAGTTTTGGTCTTGGAAATAATAAACTTGATACTATTGGCTGTAGTCTTTCAGTTTCTGTGTATTGTTGGGCCTTAGATTTGAAATCCAAATTCTTCCAGAAGCATCTCAAACATAGATTGGAATTTCTTTCCAGCCTGTGAGTATGGCAGACCTCAACTTTGCAACTTACAATCTGGGATTTGCAATTTGGGCAAGTTATATATGCTCTGAGCCTTAAGTTTCTTCATGTGTGAAATGGAAAAAACCAATCCATGCCTGCTTATCTCTCAGAGTTGGGAGGATTGAGTGAGGTAAGTTGTGAGTTTTGACATGTCTTGTTAAGCACTATTCAAAGATTAACAAAAACACCTACACAAGAAACTTTGGATTCAAGGAGGGAGACGGAAATGACATTGGAAACATAAAGGGCAAGGGGCAGGCAGACACTGGTGACTAACAAAAGGCAGTATCTGATAACAACGTAAGAGAAGTTCAGAGAGCCAAGGAAGGGATTGATTTTGAAAGGGATCGGAAGCAGCCTCAAAGGGAAGA